ACGGCAGGCTCACAGTCCATTTGAAAGCAGCAAAGCCAGGGAGACCAGAAAAGGCCTGGGTTCTGAATGCAGAAGGTCTGGCAAGTCAGACCTAGGGAAGAGAGCCGCAGTGCCAGGGAGGGGCGTGGACACTCACAGCAGGTGTCAGCTCAGCAGCACCCAGGACTGGGGGCTAGAGAGGGGAAACACATAAGCACTTCATTCCGGCCTCCATAGTGCATGCGTACACTCCTCACTGTACCTAGAGGAGCACGAGGAGGAGTGGGGTGACCGCTTAAGAAGCAAAGAGCCCCCATAAGGATTTTTAACATTGAACTGATTCTGTATTTACTCAAAGAAGATGGACCTAATGGGACAGGATAGAGAGCTTTCCCACCATCTGAGTCATAATGGTGTTACTGGATTCTCAAGAACAAGTGGAGTACATTGTAGAAAGTAAAGTTACACTTCTTACCCTCTAAATTGTGCCCATAACTATCAATCCCACTACACTGTGTGGAAGTCCAGCCAGGACCCAGAGACCAGAACCCAGCATCATGGCCACAGCCTCACTGTCTCGTGTCTGGAGAGCGAGACATTCAGATAATCTTCCAGAAAATTAAGCCCCTTTATAACCAGCAGGGCTTTGGCCACCAAGCCCCATATAGTCTGTTTCTTCCCTTGGGGACCTGGTCCAAATTGCATGATGCAGGGGAACTTGGTTCCTCTCATCTCAGGGGACCCCCAATGAGGTAGGTACCCCAGATTTGTCTTCCACAACAAAGTTGTTGGAAGGATACATTCCTGGAAGAAAAAGTCTTCCCAAAAGAAAAAACGTGATCAAAGAGGACCAAAAGAGTTACTAAAAATAATTGAATTGTATTTAAATCTCTTTACCCTCCCACCAGAAGATCTACCTTTAATACTGTGTCTTTGGAGCCCATTTTATCCCTTATCTGTTCTGGATAACCCAGGATCAGAAGGGGAAACGGTAGAGGGTGGAGATCGGAAGGACACACTGACCTCCCTCAGGTGCTAGCTTAGGTGGTCCTAACATTTGGTTTTCTGCTAACCCAGGGAGCTGTCTGTCCAGGGAAGGGCAGCAGCACTTCAGAGAAGTCAGTCCTGCCTCTACCTTTGAGAGAAACTTCCATCCAATTATTGGCATGCTCCCCTGTATAAATGTGGAACCTTTTATAAAATGGAAAAATATCCCTTCAAGAAGTCCACTAGAGTAGATGAGGACTGACTTCAATTAATTTAACCACCATGCCCATATATGTCAGTGAAATAGAAAAGAAATTATTTGCTTTCTCAACTGATGCTTGCCAACAGGGATAGGAACACAAACCAGGTAGAGATCTTGCCAAACACAGCAAACTTTATGCACAAACACACACGTGCATACACGGCACACCAAACCCCACTTCCATGATGGAGTCAACCTTTGTCCTCGTGGGAAAACTAAAGTTCCAATGAAAGACTTCTCTCTCTCTCTCTCTCTCTCTCTCTCTCTCTCTCTCTCTCTCTGTGTGTGTGTGTGTTTTTAATTTGTACAAAGAATAGAAATTTGTCTTTAACTTTTTTTATCTTTATCAGATTTGGCCTTGAGAGTCGTCCCTGGGTGCTCTCTGGACTCTTCCTGAGCAGCTGCAGCCTGGGGAATCCTCCGTCAGCGGGGGCATCACTCCAGAGTTACATGGATCCAGTCCTGCACGTCCCAGATCTCACCCTTCCAAAGTTCCAGAGAGAATGAGCAGCACCCGGGTCATCACAGTACCGAACCCGAAACCCCAAAGTGTAGAAGACACAACGACACCCCAGACCCCAGTGCAACCACTGCAACAGCCTCCCTCTGTGCCTCGGCGTGCTTGGTCCAGGGCTGCAAAGTTAAATGCCTAACCTGGTGAGGTAGTAAGGCGTGATGGGAACTGACAACCAGAGAGCACCCACCTCATCAAAAGGGAAGTTCAAATGTTTAAAATACTCTGCTGGCTAAACTTGTCAGAATATGGCCCCTAGGCTACCCGGGAACACTGGGGCAGACAAAGGTGCTTCCCAGGGAAAAGCCTAGACCCACCCCACTGCCATGGCAAGATTTTTCCTAAAGCACACAGCCACGACCTGGGGGAAGTACGAGTGGGAAGACAGACGACAGACGCTGCTGGGCTTTCCCTGGGTGCTTATGAATTCATCCTAACTAGTCAGACTATCTCATTTTAGAGCTTAAAATGCCATTAGAAGAAACGTCCTCAGTGGTTACTCTCACAGAGAGATCACCACAGCCTTCAGAGGAGGTGGTGGACTGAACCTACCACCCACACAGGCTTCCTTCTCCCAGAAACACTTTCCAAGGAACACTGCCACAACAGGCCAAAATCCAGAAGTGTGTGGTGGCAACATACCCAGGCCTCATAACAGGCACTGTGTTCATTCCTATCTCTTTCCAGAGCCTTTTCGACCCAGCACGATTGACACCTCCCTCCAACACCGAGGGCGGTCTTTGCCCAGAGACACAGCCTCCGCAAGATCACAGGCAACTCTGAACAAAATTCAGAGCCTTGAGACATGTGAAATGTCCGAGTCACAGCCACAGGTGGCAAATAGAATGCGTGAACAATGGTAGGTTACTGAACATCTTGGCACTCAGCAACGCCCAACCCCAAAACAGCAAACTCTTACACCTGGAATCCCAAATGAGCCTTGCCTGGACATTGCCATCAATCCCTATCCCCACCAAGGTCAGAGGCTGTGGCTTCACATGGCCCACAACCCCCTCCATCCACACACGTACTCGTACTTGCTGATTCAGTCCCCACATGAATCTTGCCCGAGAAGTCAATCTCCACCTCTGCCATCAGCAGATTCTTCTGTACTTCATGTGGGATTTTGCCCCTCAGGAACTGCTGACCTCGCACAGTCTATTCTGACCCCATCCCCAAGTCTCCAAACATGACCATCTCTGCCAGCACCAGGATTCCACTCTTCAGACCCTCTCCAAGGGCAGGAAGGGGTACATGGACACCGGGTTGGCAGCTCACTTTCAAGTGCCCCAGGAGGAAAGCTCCTTGTACTATGCCTCCAACCTTTTTATGATGGGTTACTATTCCAGAATAAATGTCTTTATTCTAAAAATGATTTGAACATCAAAGAATGAGAACCCCGGCATAAAACTGATGAAATCTTAGCACACTTCTGCAGAAAATGATACTCTTTGCAAAATCCAGGCCTTAGAAGGCACACTTGACAGAAGTTATATGCATATATTAAATATCTAAAATTGATTAACTTCTTGTTCATTCTAAGAATTAGCACACTCTTCCAATTAACAATTTAAACTTGGTTAGCCAAAAGACTAAAAGTTAAATGTCTTGTTCCCTTTTTAAAATGAATTTCCAATCAGAACTTTCATTTCCTAATGGAAAATGTTAATCTCTACTTTAAATCAATGTTCTAATAATGGCCTATTTCCTTATCCTTGGAAAACGTGGATCTCCTATCCTTGCTGCTAGTGTTGCCAGTGTCGGCTTGCCGCGCCACCAGGCTCAACAGGACTGGCAGAAATGAACACCCAGGTAGCTCACCGTGAGAATGGCATGCTGCCCACCTAATAAGGATCAGTGGGATTAAATGCAGATAAGGCTCTTGCTTTAATATCTAGTACATATTAAAACTTACATTTGTGGAAGCATTATTATTATCAACTTAAATAGCCAGGTTCAAGCTTCAGTTCAGGTCCCACCTGCACTCTTTTCTTTTGCTCTCAGTCATTTCCTGTCAGCTCATGTAGTAGCAACAGAAATTCTGCCTCCTAAGGGTTAGCTGGCAAGGGAAGGTTTGTATTTCAAATGGGCCAGAATTTGAACATCTAGACAGAGCATGTTCACAAATGGAATCCTTAGAAAAGAGTAATCAAATCAGAAATGGGAACCGAGGTCAGCCAGTCTGCAGGAGGCCTGTAAGACCTCAAACCAGAGTGGAGTGTTGGTGAGAGCCACGTGAGAAAACCCAGATCACTCGCTACAAACAGAGCTAAAGTGCCTGCAGCTCATTGTTGATTGCTCACCAATCAATGCTGATCACTTGTGGTCAGGCAGGCTTAATAACGTGTCCAATTGAACGCTGACATGCCAGGCACTGTGCTAGACACTTGACTGACGTAATGCCATTTGAACCTTGCAGTTATCTTATGTACAACATAGGTACAATTATCATTCCCATTCAATAGATGAGGAAACTGAGGACTGGAGAGATTCAGATTAAGTAGTTCACCCAAGGTCACACAGCTAGCAAGTGGTGGGACCAGGGTTTGAACCTCAGCACTGTCTCCAAAGCCTGCACTCAACTGCTATGTGAAACTGCCTCCCACCACCAACCACCATTTGTTCCTGCTGCCCCTCACATCAGAATAGGCAACTTGCTTGTTACCGTACATTTAGTTCCAGATTCTTGACAAGCCTTTCTTATTTCAATAGCAGTCGTGTGGTAGGTCAGAGCAAGGGGTCTCATTTGTATAACACTGAGACATAGCAAGAACCAAAAGCCCACTTTCCAGACCTGGAGAAGCAGGCTGCTACTTCAAGTGGCTTTGTCAGCTTGGCAGAGTAATGAGAGCTCTTACAATAAACTTTTTTGTTATTACTTACAAAATGCTGTTTTCTAACAAGGCCGATTTTTTAAAAACTGTGTGTGTGCACATGCAAGTGAGTGTGTGAATGTGTGCATGTTTGTATAAATTATCACCATGCAGCTTTACCTATGGTAATCTAGTTAGTACTTCTTTTTCTACACACCTTAGAATCCAGAAAACCTTTTGATGCATGCATTAATTAGGGTCATAAAAATAAGCTTAATCTATGTAAGTGATTCTGAAAAAGTTGCCTTCCCCTTCAGCTGTTACCAGTTAATCTGGGGACACAATAATAGATCTTCAGAACTAGCAAACTCTGCCTCCCACCTAGGTGCTTCCACAAAGTGATCTTGTTTCAACCACGGCTCAGCATGGAAAATAACCACACACCTCAAGGGGAGCACTTTGAGGGTTTGTTTGTTTTTTTGACATCTATATTGCAACTTGAAAAGAAACACTTTACCAGACTCCTGGTTGGGGAGGTAACTCCAGTTGTAGATACCAAGCACTGGCAACAAGCGTAGGCTGACTCACCGCTGCCACCGTCTGCCCAGGGCCCTTTCTCCTCACACACAGCACAGCTTGCGTGTTGGATGGTGTTTCTCAACAGCTCATTCGCCAAGGGTATATGGGGTTCAGGAGTATTGTTGATATAACTCTGATGATCTGAGTCTTGTTTCTAGAAACCATATTTAGTTGTCAAACAGTGTGGCTGTCAATTTTGAAATTTTAAATCAGTATATATTTCAAAGTTTTAATGGATAAAGTTTCATTTATGTGATATGAGCAATGCTTAAATTATTATGGAGAGAAAAATCATTACTCAACAGATTGTTCTTTGTATTTTGTTCTTCTATAACCTTAAAATGTTGTGTAATAGGCAACTGCATGGAACAGATCCTGTGTTTTAATGAATCCAGCCAAAACAAAGCACTTCTGTTACATAGTAACATGCAAGAAAAAACTAAGGCAGCCACTTGCACATTCGCAAACTCTACAACCACACTACAACCCAGCTGTCTACTTTGGCCAACAGGACAACCCATTCCCACCACTGCTCAATGTGTCCTCCCAGTAAGTCACCTAAGTAGGACTAGCAGACAAGGAAAAAAAAAAAACACCTGAAAAGTATAGTTATACCCCTGGCTACTTCTGCCCTAAGCTTCTAGAATGAGTGTTTCTCTACTAGTATCGGTCCTTCTCTTCTGCCCCTAAACATGGTCCCTTTGCTACTTGGAAAAGACCTTCACTGGTTCTAACAGCTTTTCTCTTTCTTTTCTCTCTGTTCTTTCTTTCTTTTCTTTCTTTCTTTCTTTCTTTCTTTCTTTCTTTCTTTCTTTCTTTCTTTCTTTTCTTTCATTCTTTTTCTTTCTCTCTCTTTTCCTTCTTTCCTTCCTTCTCTCTTTCTTTCTTCCTTTCTCTTTTTTCATCTTTCCAGTCTCAGACTTTCAGGTTGAATGGTCTTGAAGTTTGCACTTCCTTCTGCTTAGACTCCAGACTTTAGCAACACTATACTCTCAACTCCCTAGAAGCTGACTTCCAGGCCATTCCTATTCCACAGCTAAAATGCCAGGCCTGGTTGCCTTTCTAGGACTCTTGGTAGCTTCCACTACTTTCCACCCTCAGATTTTCAAGATTCCCCCATTCTTGACTTTAGGACCCATCTTGCTCCCCTCACTACCTTTCTGTCACCTTCTCTCTGATGGCTGCTCCTTTCTCTTGTCTGTGATGTCACTTAAAGCTCATTTCTAAGGCCTTTCCTCTCTCCGTATTTTACCTCCTCTGATGACTAATTCATTTTCAGGCCTTGAAGGTTTGCCTTGAAGGTTTGGCTCATTAGGGAATGAGCCCCTAAAACCAATCTGCACCTTCTATTGTCTAATGGACACTCCTGAGCTGCGCACCCTGGTAACAGTGGTGACACTGGCGCTTCACAGTTTGCAAAGAAGGTTCGTTTATGGCATTCCACTGAATGGTCAGAAAATCCCACAAGACTGGTATCCCCAGAGTATTGCTATGCTCTCAAGCAAGGTTGGCCCTTAGGGAGGGCCTCTCCCAAGGGAGGCCTCTTCAGGAAGGAAATGCTTCTTCTTTTCCATGTCCTGTCTGATGATTTTCCCTGCTGAAGAGAAGCCGCCACCAGAGTGTGGGATTATGGAAGCCTCCTCTCCTAACCCAGCTATCAATGCCCTTTAAAGATGCAGCAGTTAGGAGCTCAGGGCCCCAGACAGTGACAGGAAGGAGGTATATAGATCAGCTCAGGAGCCTGGCTCCAGGTCTCACAGAGACCTGGACTCAATTCCCACTCCTGGCATTTCATATCTGTGTGGGTTCTAACTGTGCTCTGTTTCCTTCCTCTGCAAAATGGGGACCATAAATAACTCAGAGAACTGTTATAAACTAGCTGGAACATGTACATAAATTGCCTGGCACACACAAAAGGCTCAATAAATGATGGATATCCTTGTTCTAACTTCTTAAACCTTTACCTCAGAGTCTTTGGCTCCTTCCAAAACATCACTGAGAACTTGTATGTATTCAGTTGCACCTTTAAGGATATCAACTTTGCTAGGCTTCCTGCTTTGAGGAAGAAATGGCACCAGTGTCTTCAGTTTGGCAAAACCACGGTTGAGGTTTTTTATCTGGAAAACAAAAAGGCACAGTGAGATATACAGAAGCTAATTTCTAGACATCCCCCAAACCATGGGAGGGGGTTCTGAAGGCTCATTTCCACAGCTCTCCTGTCTGGGTGGGCATCTACGAAGGCACATGCCAAAGAGAAGCCGTTCCACTGGCAGTGGTCCCTGGCCAGGAAGGGGAGGGCGAGTGATATCAACTCAGCCCTGTCTGTGGGCTGACAGGCTGGAAGGAGTGTCTATAGTCACGTGATCTCCTCCTTGCCATTAAGAACACACCTGCTGCACTGTCGTGTGGGGGCCCTGGGGGAGTGGCTAAAAGCTCCCAGCCGAGACTGGAAGATATAAAGCCCAGCTCTATCATTTAGCTTTACAAGAGTAAATAGCATACTTCATACCACCAAGCTTTGGTTTGCTTATCTGCAAAGTGAAAAATTCCCATCTTGTAGCTCTTGCACTTTTTGCCCAGCTGAGTAGATGATTTAGAATGTTAGAGTTCAGAGAGTCTGCATGATAGTGAGGCTTAAAAGGTAGAAGGAAATGCCTTTTTTTAGGGTCTCCAGGGTCTAATTCCTCAGCTCTAAAGCCTGAAACGCTGATGATCACTCCCTAGGAGATACATTCCCTGAAAGACCTAGCTCCCACTGTACCATAAAGCCAATATACTCACTCACATAGTGAGCCCTCTCCACCCCACATCAAGGCAGACAATGGACCAAGAAACATATGAAAACACTGAACTTTAATAATCAAAAACTACAAATTGCCCTGGCTGGTATGGCTCAGTGGATTGAGTGCAGCTTGAGAAACAAAGGGTCACAGTTTTAATTCCCAGTCAGGGCACAAGCCTGGGTTTTGGAACAGGTCCCCAGTGGGGGGGTGCTTGAGAGGCAACCATACATTGATGTTTCTCTCCTCTTTCTCCTTCCCTTTCCCTCTCTCTAAAGATAAATAAATAAAAATCTTTTTTAAAAACTACAAATTATAACAGAAATTAGATACCATTTTTCATGTACCAAGCTGGTAACATTTTTATTTGTTAATCATACCCAGTACTGAAAATGGAAAAGGGAACAGTCCTATGTCTTATGAAAGGGGATTAAAATTGTAACCTTCCTAGAAAGCAATTGGGTGACTTGTATCAAAAGTTGAGATTGTAGATATCCCAATAATTCTGCACCTAGAATTTTATTCTAAAGCAATGAGCAGGCATGCACATAGATTTATATACCAGTAAGAAGCTGCAAAAATAGCATGCATGCTCCACAATAGGAAACTAGAGAAGTTATGGTCCATTTCTAGGTCAGTCTGGGCAGTCAAAAGCTGCTCTTTGAAAGAATACTTAGGAATATGAGGAACTGTTTTTGATAATGTTAAGTGAAAAGGATACAAAGATATGTACAAGATGATTACAGTTTTCTAAAGTTTTATATATATATATATACACACACACAACTATAAAAAAAGAACTGGGAGCATATACACAAGAAAGTTCACAGTCATTGTGTTGTGGGTGTTTCTGCTCCCTGTTTAGTCATCTCTATATTTTTCAGGTGCATTAATTGTATCATTATAAAGAATAGAGGTTATTAGTTTTTAAAATAGGGTGGATTCTCTGCAGAAAGTGATCCTTTCCTGGTTGGAAGTCCCACATAAAATGTAAAATATCGGGTCAGAATCTTGTTTGAGGGCCACATCATCACATCAGATCACAGGGCTATTTTCATGAAGAGTCTAGTGCCTAGTAAAACCATGCTTCTCCACTCCTGCACTTGTCCCAACTTTCCATTAAGTCTTTCTACTCTTCCTTGGTCCTTTCTCTGCACACCCTTTCCCAGGCAAAGGTCCTCGTTCATCCACTGGGGCTACATTTCTAAGGGGCGAGGGTGTGCAGAAACAGGCCCCAGCAGAACTTTCTCGAGTCCCAGCCTAAATGTGCCACTGCCTCTTCCACCACTCACCTTTCTGTCCCGGGACCCTCCTGTACTGCGACCCAACCCAAAGATTGTGAAGGAACCAAAGGGGACCAGATTTGACAAGTTTGGGGCTAGAGATTAGTTAGAAATACTAAAAACTACCAGTAGATGCCGCTCTTACTACAGCCTACAAGACCTAAGGTTGCCGATTCTGCGTGAACTGTCTGATTGGGAACTGGGCGCTTCCTCCCTCCGGGCAGCAGGTCGACGGGGAGTCTAGGTGCACATTGGGGACTAGTGTGTGTGTGTGTGTGTGTGTGTGTGTGTGTGTGTGTGTTTGTTTGTTTGTTGAGTAACTTCGATTAGGCCCTGCTCACCCCGTTTGCGCTTGGAGGCTGAGATGCAGAGCACAGGGGAAAGGAGTGCAGAGAACCCTGCGCGCCCCAAGCACCCACCCAGCGCCCTCGGTTGTGAGATTCCAGCGCAACTCCGGTGCTCTTAAGTTTCGTAAAAGCACTTGCCCAGGGAAGACATTTTTGAAGTTGTCAGGGGCCTCCTCAGCTCTCCCCAGACGGGTTCCTGCCCAAGTCCGGGTGGCTTAGCAGGCGACGTGCCCGTCCCAGGGGCAGCGAACGGGCAGCTGGACCAGGTGGAGCGTAACAAGGCCACTGTCATTCTCCGAGGCTAGGACACGAGCCGGCCCTCAGCAGGCCAAAGCCGCCTCGGGGCCCCGCGGGTGGGCGGTGAGTGGGTGCACCGGGACCTGGCCAGGAGTTCAGAAGTGGGTAGCGGTTGTGGGGGACAGGGAAGAAAGTCATTCTTGTCCCGGTGCGGGGTCGTGCAGCGGCCGTGGGATGGCCTCGGGGACCCGCGCGGGGCAGGACGCTCACCCGCTCGCGCTCCTTTGCGTTGGCCACGCGCCGCCGCTCCAGCACCAACTGCAGGTCCTCGGTGGACGAGTAGCCGCCCGAGGGCAGCCGCTTGAGCCGGCAGATAGCGGCCAGCTGAGGCAGTGGCCCGAACTGCTCCCGCAGCACGTCCTCCAGCACTTCCGCCGGCGAGGCGACTACGAAGCCGGGCAAGGGGTCCATGGCGGCGCGCGGGACCCAAGGGCCGCCCGGGCCTTTCATCGGGGGCACCTGGGGCCGCACGAGGCCGCGAGGCCGCCGGGGGGCGGGGCTTGGACCACCTGCTCCCGTTGCCCCGCCGGGTTACTACAAACCCGGTCCCGGTCCCGCTCTCGGGAAGCAGGTCCAGGAATTGCGTTTTAACAAGCTGCGCCGGTGTTACTGTGAACACAATTACAGACGGTTCTGGTTCTCAAATTGGGGTGCCCACTGGGATTGCCTGGGGAGTTTTGTATGTATGTTTTAATCCACTTACTTGGGAACCAATCCCCAAAATTCAGTTTTAACCATTATGAGTTGGGACCTGAGCTTCTGATAAAAGCATACACATGTATGCAAACACATGTGTACATATATACATTTACCAGAAAAAAAGATGTATACACACAAAACCTGATTAAAATTCATTTTGAAATAAAAGTTGCAAGAGCAGCAACAAAGAGGTCCTGTATCTCCCCCACCTAGATTCCCTACTTGATAGCTTTTCACCTTTGCTTCATCCTCCTCCTCTGTATGAATATTCCCATTTGTGTTATTCTTTTTCTAGAGCATTTTCTCTGTCTTGCCCTGTCTTAATGACCTTGACAGCTTCAAAGAATATAAGCTTTTCATTCTATAGATGTCCACCAGCCTGGGCCTGTCCAGTGTTCCCTCACGCCCAGACCCAGGCTGTGTCCTCTCCGCAAGGAGCCCGTAGAAAAGATGCGGGGCTTTTCTCAGTGCCTCACATCAGGGGTTACATGGTGGTGACCTGCCCCCTCCCACTGGCGATGTTAACCCTGAGCACCCAGTCAAGGTGGCATCTGCCAGGTTCTGTCACCATAAATTGGCTAATTTTTCCTCTTAATGATAAATATTTTGTGAGGAGATATCCTTAGCATCCATTGCTGACTCCTGCCTGAATTAACCATCATTCTGATCATTGCCAAAAGATTAGCATCCTGCTGTTGGGAAGAGCTTTCCCTTTTTTCCATTAATTTATTCATTTTGTATCCATCAGTATGGGTTCATGAATTTCTAGTTTCTCAGTAAAGTGTAATTCATTCAGATCATTATTTTAATCTCAAAATGTCTCAAGTTTGGTCTGTGGGAAGCTCTTCAGGCTGGCCCCTCGGTCCTTTGACATGACACCATCATTCTTTGAACACTTTTTTACTGGTGCCAAGAAAAGACACAACATGACCCAGGTGCATGTCGAACTTTTCTAGTCCTGGCCTCAGAATCAGTCAGTTCTGCATTTAGTGAGAAATGGGGTTTAAAAACCAAGAGTGGGTGATTGATCGTTCATTCCTTTCAGGATGTCATTGCTTCTAAGCCCTTTTGCAAGCAAAAAATATATACATGCATATACACAAAAGCATACACACAAATACAACTAGCTATGTCTATCTCCATGTGTATATGGATGGATGGATGGATATATTTAAAAAGCATGAGTTTACACTAATACCTCCAATTCTAATCCAACACCTCAGGTTTCTCCCTAGTTTCCCCCTTTCCTTATTTATAACTGCCCTCTCCAATAGTGAGGAACTTGACTCTGGTTATGTCTGCAGTGTATTTACTCATTTGCTCAACTCTCATGGATAAGCTATGTCCTAGTCACATCAGCCACCTCCCCAGCCTCATCTCCTCCTGGCTCCCACCATGGCACAGCCTCCAAGGGAAGGGCAAGGGGAAGAGAAGAAGACACACCAAATGTTCAACTGGGACCCCCTGGTCAGTGGGCCTGGGCATGCAGAGGTATGATCTGTGCTTCCCAGCTTCTATATTGCTTGCATTTTTTCATCATAAGCATGGGTCACTTCTATAATTTTTTTAAAAATGTAATTTAAGAAGGAAAATATTTTAATATCTATTTTAAATATATTTCTGTTTGCTGTATGTTTATTTGGTATTGTCTGCTGGGAGGCAGATAGAAGGCAACAGGAGCAAAATGTGTGGTAATGAAGCTGAAAATGAAGATTGTTTACCCATTTACTTAACTTTCCTTGATGATCAAAAAGGACATTATTGACATTATTTTGTTGCCAAACCCTTGAGTAGACCAGCTGGCGTGCATTAAGAACCCAGTGTGAAAAGCTCAGACTTTATTCTTTCATACCTGCTCTTCCCATTAACTCCAACTACAACTTTTCGGCCTCGTGGCTCTTAGGTTCCTCTACTGAACTGTCTGTTCTGATGGAGAGCAGTGTGAGCTAAGTGGTTACACCTGTTAGGGACTTAGCACTGAGACCCTGCCATCATCCCATAATGCAATGGTCTAATGACAGAAAAAAATGTTTCTCCTTCCTCTAACAGTGAGAAAGGCATAAGTCAGCAATGCATCTCTGCCCCTCATGGTCACTTAGGGACTTAGATTCTTTCCAAATTATGCTCCTCCATCATTGCTCCTGGGTGTCATTTCCAAAAATGGAGCTGGTGCCCCACAGGGATCAAGGCTCACAACAACAAAGTTCCAGGCCACTCACCCCAGTCAAGGTTCAGAGCAGGATCAGAAACTGTCCTAGGCATACCAAGTAGATGCCAAGGAATTTCTCAGTGACTGAGGTGCTTTCACAAGTATTGGGAGGACTGGAGGAACAGGGGGAGCTCGAGCTCAAAAACACACCATCAAACCTGCAGACCAAGGAGCAAGGACCATGCTCCCGAAGCTGCCACTCAACCCCCCAAAGCTGGGAAGGGACCCTGGAACACTGCTACAGAGAATGTCCCCACCTCCTAGCTTGTCCACAGGAAACAGACAAAAGGACAGGGAGGTGTACTCTGCCTCACTGCCATGCTCCCATGCTAGCAATCTCACACAACTGTTTCTAATTAAATTACCTTGATTGGCATCCAGAAACCTGGGTACAAGGGGTTCTTGGAAATGGAGCTTTGCCCTTCCTTGTTCTACAATGAAGAAAGGCACCCTGGAGAAAGGGAGCCGAGGATGTTGTTTGAGACAACCAATCCATATTATCTTCCACCCTGAGACACAGAGAAATTGCTCCTTGCTCCAACTCATGCCCCAGCAGGTTCACCTCATCAATCTTTGCCTGTTCATTACCTGGAGGCCCTGCCGAGAGGAGCACCCTCTCCTACATCTGCCATCCTGGGTACACTAGGGAGCCCCCCATGAGACCAACCAGAATGAGGCTCAGACACAACTCCCTTAATCTCCTTAGCTCAGTCAAGACACAAAAGAGCTGCTAAAAAACAATTTTAGTAAGAGAATGCAAAGAATGACATTTGAAAAGTGGATCAAAAACTTCAAATAGACATGTCTGCATTGCCCAGAATTCCCATCCAAATTAACCTGGCAATATTATTATTCATATTTACATGAATTTGTATTATTATTATTATTATTATTATTATTACTACATATTATCACATAGTGTGTACTATTTTATCTCACTATATTCCTGAAAATTATACTTAACTCCCATTGTACAGATGAGAAAATCGATGCCAGAGACGTTGATTGATTAGGCAAGGTCATGCTGCTGGTCAGTGGCAGAGCCAAGCCTAAAAGCCAGGCTTGCTGCCTCCACCGTAGTTTTTTTTCCCTTGAGGTCTGAGTGGCCTTCCTCCCTAGGTCACTGAGCCCAGCCCCACACATCTGGTTGGCCCTGTCCCCCAGCACACAGACCCTGCTTCTCTCTAGATGCTCTGCTTGCCTTGCCCTACACTTCACTTCCCTGGAGGCTCTTCCTCCCTGACCTCAGTGGGCATGAGCTGGGGTTAATGAGGCCACATCACCAGCAGGGTTAACAGTGAATCAGAAGTGCTTTTTCACCAAGAGTAGAGAAGAGGAACAGACCCACAGTCTTTGTCCCCAGGAAGCTAGTGAAAGGTCATTTCCTCACAGGGACACTCAGCTCAGTGGTTCTCATTTGTGCTGCCATGCGTCTGCTCCAGTCAGTAGCCCCAAGCTCTGACAAGATGCAGAAAGATGCGTGGCAGCCTCACAAAGGGGCAGGTGGAAGTGTGAAGCCCTGTGGGCTGTGCAGCCTCACGAAAGAGCTGAGACTTAAACAGGGCCCCAGGGTTAGTCGTCGGTCAGAGGGAAGAGTTTCTGTAGCACAGGAGTTCATAGGTCCTTTGGGCAAGTCACTCACACTCGAGGCCTTATCTTACCACCTGTAAAGTGGAGATTATAACAGAACCTTCCGCAGGGTTGTAGTGAGGAGTCAGTTAGGCTTATACAGAGGGATCTGTGTGCCACACACCATTCTAAACTTGTTATAGGCAGTAACTTTCCGAGTCCACACAACACCCTTAAGATGGGGGTACTCTAATTTTCTCACAGAAGAAAGGAAACACAAAAGTCAGGTAACTGGTTTTCCCAACTACAAAGGGGCAAAACTGGGATTGGACCCAGACAGTCTGGCCACAGAGCCTGGTCTATAACCACCAATCTCTCCTGCCTCACATGACTCCCACGACACTGTAAGCAATGACCGCAGTAACAGAGACAATTTGTGAACCAGATGGAATGTCCAGAAGCTCGGCTCTTGTGCACACAAATCCGAAGTGACCCACGCAGAGACATGTGCCGAGCTACAGTGCAAAAGCTGCTGTCAGAGCTGGTTGAGAGGACACCAAGGTGCAGGGCTCCATTCCCATGACCTGGTAGCAGAGATATTGAGAGAGACTCCTTGTGGCCATCTTGAAGGGTAAGATTACAACACAAGCAGGGCTTAGAGAAGATTCAAGAAGAAGTGGGGTGCAGCTGATTTGGGGAGGGGAGGGAGAGCTAAGAGGCACATCTGTGCTGTGAATACCCTGCTGCATAGACCCTTGCAGGAGGAAGCCTTCTTGAGGCCCAGATGGTTGGTCCCTTCTCTGTCCTAAATCACCCTTTTAAAGAGTAACTCAGGCCTCTTGACTCTTCTGTGATTTTCAATGGGGCCTGGGGCTTTCACTGATAGTCAGGTTCCCTGGAGTTTGTTGGCTCTGAGCTGCAGGAATTGCTGGCA